TACTGGACGTCGGTTCCAGCCACTGTTGACGGTGTTCTTGGTGGGTACGGTGAGCAGACGTCTGTGCCAAAGGCAGATGTGGTTGGGTCTCTAACCCTCGTACGCAAGTTGAGGACCCGGATGGTGCCACCTGAGGGCTACACGAAGTACTCTGTCGACATAGGTGCCGGTATTGGGCGTGTGACTCGTGATTTCCTCCATAAGGTTAGTGACAAAATCGACCTCGTTGAACCCGTCAAGCCATTTGTTCAGCAGATGCAGACTGAGCTGAAACCTCTGATTGAGCAAGGTAAGATTGGTACGATATACGATGTTGGAATGCAGGATTGGGAGCCTGAGCGTGGTAAATACTGGTTAGTCTGGTGCCAGTGGTGTGTGGGACACCTGCCAGACGACGAATTCGTCAAGTTCCTCATAAGGTGTAAAGAGTCGCTGCAGCCAAACGGAACCATAGTCGTCAAGGAGAACAACTCACTTGGTGAGGACGTGTTTGATGAGACTGACAGTTCTGTGACGAGATCAAACGAGTCGTTCCAGAAGTTGTTCAAAATGGCGGGCTTAAAGTTGATCGCTGTGGAACTACAAAAGGGTCTACCAAAGGAGCTGTTTAAAGTGAGAATGTATGCATTAAAGGGTGAATAGTCAATTCTTCAAATCAAACGTTAGTATACTTTTCAATACAAGTGGTTGTAGAGAAGAGATCGCTGAGTGGATTCAATCAGATAGGAGCGAAAGACTAGATGGCTAGTTGTGTCCTCATTAAAAGAATCAGTTGAACTATGCATAAAACTGTTTGAATCATCACATTGAATCCAGTTCACAATCTCAATTGGCTCGATCACTTACCACCATTCTTCCACAGTGAGACTCCACAGTGAGACTCCACAGTGAGACTCCACAGTGAGACTCCACACGGATACACCAAACAGCAAAGAGATGGAGAAAGAGTTGGAGAAAGAGAAGATGTGAAAATTTTTTTGAACAGTCGCTATGCCAATGGTACGCGCAACATATGCTGTTTTATAGGGCTAACTCACTCTCCATGAGTTCTACAAAACTATCAAGAACACCGACTTGGCCTGATCTGATCAGTAAGCACCCTCCAGTCAGCCCATTGGGCTGGACTGGACACCTGGACAAAGTCGCTCCATCCTCGAAATCACCCAATTAAGCACACAATTCCACCATACATTTAGAAACAACTAGCCTGCCACCGTGCGCTGCACACACATCCTCGGTGTTTAGAAACCAGAACAGTCTGATCAATTGATCCTGGAGCCAGAAGCTTACTGATCAACCGCAATCAGAATGCTGCCATTAGGTCCATGATGGAAGATTCCTCCGAATCCACGTCGCTTAGCTATCCAAACAAGGGCACTGCTCGGAGTAAATGATCTGCACTGGATGCATATATCTATCTACATACGTCCGCCACAGATTGGAGAACGCTATCCGTATATCTGATGCGTATGAGCTCGCTTGGCTGTGTGCCTTGCTTCCCCGTAGGTGTCCATGTCGCTGCTGAGGCTGTCAGTTCACCGAGTATCGTGGTGACTTGTTGAATGTCACACCTGGCACGGCAACTATACGATTACCTGTTCTTGATCTTCAAGCTAGGTGTTGTGCGTCTATGTTGCATCTGATATAGCCACAGTGGCTCTTGTTGGAGACGCCGGATGGTACACGGTGGTCGAGCTAGAACGAGCATGGTCTCCACTGTAGATCACATCACATCACATCACAGGAACTCCACTAGATGTAGAAATGATAGCCCATCTTTGATGTATATAAATACCTCTCGAATGGATGCTTTTGAAGAAGAGCAGCCAACAGCTCAGGAAACCAACACTAAGGGAAATGGCACTACAGGCTGATCTGCCACAAGGTGCTGGATATGCGGTCATCATAGGCCTAGGTCTGTTCTTCGCAGTGCTGATGAATGTCATCACCTGGATCCAGAACAAGTATACTCGAACTCACTCTGATACTGTTGATGAGTTCACAGCCTCCTCGAGAAACGTCCCCTTCGGCTTAATCTGCTGTGGAATTGTCTCTTCTTGGACCTGGTCCTTGACCTTGCTCCAAAGTGCAACCGAATCCTACAATTTGGGCATCAACGGCTCCTACTACTACGCCATCGGTGGTCTTGCACAGGTTGGTGTGTTTTCAATCATCGCTGCAAAGGTCAAGGCAAATGCCAACCTTGTCACGACATTCCCGGAGATGGGTTATTTCAGGTATGGAACAGCCGGTCACCTAGCGTTCCTATGGTGTGCCTTTGTATGTAACTCGGTTGTTTCTGCCTGTATTCTCCTTGGTGGCTCATCCGTGGTTTCTGCTGTCAGTGGAGTCGACTACTACGCCTCCATTTGGCTGATCTCATTCGTGTGTGCAATCTATGTGTTCTTTGGTGGCTTGAGAGCAACTTTCATCGCAGATGCCATCCATACGTTCATCCTCCTCATCTTCATCATGATCTTCGCCTATGTCGTTTATGCTGGTGACTCTTCCAAAATTGGGTCACCAGGTAAGATGGTGGAGCTTCTGACTAAGGTTGCTGAAGTATCGCCAATTAGTGGTAATTACCAGGGATCATATCTCACCTACCAGTCCAAAGACGGTGCCATCTTTGCCGTGCAATCAGTCATCACCGGGTTTGGTCTCGTGAACTGTGACCAAGCATACTGGTCTCGTGCTGTTGCCTCTAGGGATAAATC